CCGGGCCCCGGCCGGTGCGTGGGAGCGCGCTGCTTCGTCGGTCTTGGGTCTTGACTTCCCTCTTCAGCGCCTCGGCCGCTGCCTTCAGCGTTGCGCAGCCACTCTCCTGCCTGGCTTCACGTCGGCGCTGGGATGGCCTTGGGGGCGTCGGGTTGATTCTGTGGGATGCGGTGGGCTGGTCGAGGTTTTGGGGTCTTTCCCGGAGGGTGGCAGCTGGCTGCGTCACGAGGCGCGTTGCTGTAGCTCCTGGGCAGGTGTGCGGTGCGCAGGCGTCGGAGGGATGCACTGGTGGCATGAAGTGCGGGGAGTGGTTTACATCCACGAAGGCCCTTCAGAATTGAGTTTCTTGTAGGGTTTATGCCCTTATAGGATTTTTGAGGATGCGTGGCTGTTGCAGAACAGTCCCCTTCCAGGCGTTTCCCTTGTTCCGCTCATCGTGTGTCCTTGCGCCTCGTTTCTGCTCCTCAGGCTGAACCATCCCAACGTGGTGGCTGCCCGTGACGTCCCTGAGGGGATGCAGAAGCTTGCACCAAACGACTTGCCCTTGCTGGCCATGGAGTACTGCCAGGGGGGAGACCTCCGCAAGGTGAGGTCCCTGGGATGGTGACCGAGGGTGGATCAACGTCTTGGCTGAGGGTTTCTATTGAAGTCTCCCCGTAACACTGCTTTTTTTTCACATCCTGATGCTTCCTAATTTTTGGCGCGGCACCAACAGGTTGTGGTGGGTTGGTCTTGATGTTACAGTCTGCTTTTGAAGACGTAAGTGCTGTCTGAAACTTGTTTTATGTGTTTGGTTGGAAGTGATGCTGTGAGCAGTTTCCACGTAGTAGAGGATGAGGGTGTGTGTGAGGGATGTGCAGCAGGATGTGACTGTGGTCAAGACCATCGTAGGGCAGCCCAGAAAACAGTGTGTGGGCTGTACCCTTCCTGAAAGTGATTAACTTCTGTCTGTCATAGGAAAAAATAATGTGCGTTAATACTAATCTTACTGTTTTTCTAACCTTTGCTATAATCTGCCCGTAGATAAAACCCAGAGTTTAGAGCTGAGATATGAACTGGTACTGCCAGGCACAGGGAAAAAGAAAGGCTTTGAAGGATGGAGCAGGTAGAAGGAAGAGAATGGGGATGGCACTGACTTCTTTTGGTGTGGTTAGACCAAGGCCTGAAGGTGTATTTGCTGCTACTGAAGGTCATCATCCCATAGAGTTTTGTGCCTCTAAAGAATTTTGTTCTTGTTGCTGGAACTTCTTGCATCCGTGAGAGTTTGTGGGATTGTAAACCTTGCTTGGGATACAGGAGGGAAAGACTGTTTTGTGTTGTTTTCTTGCAGTACCTGAATCAGCTGGAGAATTGCTGTGGCTTGCGGGAAGAAGCCATTCTCATCTTGTTGTCCGATATTGGTGAGTGGTGGCAGTACCTTCGGCTGTGAGCTGTGGAAGCCCTTTCAGTGCTGGATCCGCTCCAAGGATGTGCAGCAGTGGCATTAATGGCTCCATCTTAGACTGACCTTTGAGGAGTTTACTTGCTTCCTGTCTTGCTCTGCCAGCCCTCCCTGTGTGAGAGCCAACCTTTGATTTTTATTCTTGAAGCTGTAGAGATTGATCTTTCTGCTTAGGAAAAATGCCACTCAGGATTTCCTGGAAGGTTTGGGATAGGGTCAGTTGGCAAGTGTTCAGCTGATTTATACTGCCCATTAGTCTCCACTCGGCTTAACGGCTGATCGTCAGCACTTCGAAGTGTGTGATCCCTGGGTTTCCATTAGCATTTGGGCAGCTGCTGTGTGGAGTTTGAGGCACTTCAGGGGCAAAGATGCCAAGTGCTGTCTAGAGAGTTTTGGTGTGGAGCGCTGGAATGAAGGGTAGAGGCTCCTTAGGAAGGACAGGCCGGGGAGATGAGGAGGGGGTGCTGCATCCTTACTGAGCTCGTGGTAGGTACTGTTAGTTACGCTCTGACAGGTGGCTTTTTCTGTGTCCCAGCTTCTGCCCTCCGGTACCTTCATGAGAACAGGATCATCCACAGAGACTTGAAACCAGAGAACATCGTGCTGCAGCAAGGAGAGCAAAGGGTAAGTGGGAACCAGGTGTCTCTGCCTGCGCAGGCAAGTGAGTGTAAGGGGAAGATGCGCGTGCTTCGTGCAGTTACAGTGGTCCCTCTGCAAGAGCCCTCCACCCAGGATAACAGCTAGCTTGGATCTGTGTGTCAGGTGAAGTGTTCCACGTGCTGCTGCGATGACAGGTGGTGTGAGACTGCTGGTGACCCCTGACGCTTTATCTTTCAACTGTGAGGGAAGAACCAGACCATACCGATTGCCCACATTAGCAGAAATGTTTCCAGCTCTGCGTATCAGGCCAATGACAACTTTAGATACTTTGTGGTTTCAGGAATCTACAGACACCTCCCATTTCCACTTGCACCTTTTCTGCCTACCTTTGAGAATCTGAACGCTGTCTTACTCTGCTGCATGCTGTGCTTTTAGCAGGACTGCTCTCTAGCGTTCTTGTTCTCGTTGTGTGTTTCAGTTAATACACAAAATCATTGACCTTGGTTACGCTAAGGAGCTGGATCAGGGTAGCCTGTGCACATCCTTTGTTGGGACTCTGCAGTACTTGGTAAGGAAGGGGTTTGGGCTTTGGGCTGGGATGAAGTACGTGTCCTGGTGTGTGGGGGATTTGGAGTGCTGCAGCTGGCAAAGGGGACTTATTTTTGCTGACACTGGGTTTTCACTGTGTCTGCTAGCTATGGCTGTTATTAGTAAGCAGCAGCAATGTCAGTAACCTCTGCCCCTCACCCTGGGAGGGTCTCAAAGCTCATGAGAGGCCAAGTGTTCAGTACCGTCTTCACTCTGTTGTACAAATGTTAATGAACTCTTCAGGGTTAGAGAGAGCTAAGGGGTGGGGGGCTTTGTCTCACGTGCCTGTGCATTGCCTCAGGCTCCAGAGCTGCTGGAACAGCAGAAGTATACGGTGACGGTGGATTACTGGAGCTTTGGCACGCTGGCCTTCGAGTGCATTACAGGCTTCCGACCGTTCCTACCCAACTGGCAGCCAGTGCAGTGGTGAGTGAGCTGGGCCAGGGGATAAGAGCACCCACAACGAGACTGTCCTGTTCACAGGAAGTAGTGTGGTCCCTTGATTCTTAGGGTAATATCCCTATGTTCCTTGGCCTTGCGGAGACTGACTCCCCTTACAGGATTTTGACCTGATGATAGATGATCTTTAAGGTCCCTTCCAACCCAAACCATTCTATGATTCTGTGACCTACCTGAGCAAGTTCAGCATTCCTGATACTTGCTTTCTGGAATCAGGACTGAGTCCTGCAGGGCAGGTGGCAGAAATCAAAGCTGCATCAGTCAAGAGTAGCTCTAGGAGCCTACTAACAGATGGGCTGGGAAAGGCAGGTGATCATTTTGCTGTTGTTTGCTTGAATTCATTAGGCATACAAAGGTGCGACAGAAGAGCGAGCTGGATATTGTCGTTTCGGAGGACTTATCTGGAGAAGTCAAATTTTCTAGCAGTTTACCCTGCCCGAACAATCTAAACAGGTGAGGGCCTGAAATCTGTTACGCCACACTGGGATAAACGGTTTCATCTGCAGGAGGACCAGGTCTGTGTCGTACGCCTTGCTACGCTGATTTGTGAATAAACAGAGTGCGTGATGCAAATGTCCTTGTGTCCCCCGTCAGACTCGTGCAGCTGAGAGTCTGCTTCTGCCTGCTAAACGCTGTGTCTGTGACTGGGGGTGGGGAAGCTGTTTGTCTCCTGCAGAGACCAGGCGGTATGGTGACTGGAAACACGGTCTCACCCCTTCTGATCCCCTTCTTCTTTTGGTCCTTCAGTGTGTTGGCCGGGAGGCTGGAGAAATGGCTGCAGCTCATGTTGATGTGGCACCCGCGGCAGAGAGGCACAGACCCAACGTATGGACCCAATGGGTGTTTCAAAGCTTTGGATGACATTTTGAACTTGAAGGTGAGCCATGGGTCTGTGTGACCCTGAAAATTTTCCAGAGAGCCTGTAGCCCATGGGAGAAGCAGCTTTGAGTCCTAGACCGAGGAGGAGCAGCAGTGCAGAATCTCGTGTCCCGACAGATGTTTTCCTCTGTCTTGTTGGAGGACAAATACTCCCTGAGCTTAGTGGGAGTAGCAAATAGCATCTGTGTGTGCGTGGTTCTGTGTTCTGGCAGCTGAAGCTGTTTCATTGCCGTGTGGCTTCTTTTCCAGTTGATGGAGGGCGAGGACTTTGGTGTAATGTTATGAAGTAGGTGCCAAGGGATGTTTTGAGCCCTGCAGGTGCTTTGAACGCTTTATCAGTAGCCAGTGTCTAATCCTGGGATCTCTGCTCAAACGTGGCCAGTCCATCTTCAGCCCATCTCATGCTGCACTGCTCTTCTCGTAGCTGCTTCACGTTTTGAACATGGTTACGGGAACTGTGCACACCTACCCTGTGACCGAGGAGGAGACTCTGCAGACCGTGAAGGCCAGGATCCAGTCGGATACAGGCATCCCAGAACAGGACCAGGAGCTGCTGCAGGAAGCTGGACTGGCGTTGTTTTCTGAGAAGCTGGCCACTAAACATCTCGCTGACAGCCAGGTGAGTCTG